CTAGGTACCGGCTCCTTCCCCATGGCTCACTTACTGCTCGTGAATGCACATAGTGTCTGGTCAGACAGTCTTTAGTAAAGACTGTGTCTCACCCTGTCCTCTAACAGTGCTGAGCACTTTAGGGAATGCCCCAGTGAGGCATGGGACGGTTTGGGAGTTCTTGAGTTCCTTCCTGAGCTCACTAGGGTGCTGAATCCAGACAATTTGGCCCTGCTGACTTGATGAGAACCCTAGACACACACTGCTCTAGAGATCATCTTTTGAATTTAGGTTCCCATGAAGGATTAATTCCCACTGTGGGTGATTAATATTTGTTATGACCTCTGGAAAGCTCCCCATGCCTCAGTTTTGTCTCCTTCCCAAGTGTTCTTAGGCAAAGCACTCAGCACGTAGGTTGGCCTGAATCTATCCCTGACAGCTCTTACCACAACCTACACCTATTTGTTTATCTTATTTTATATTTTTGGAAACAGGATTTTGCTTACTGTGGATCTTAGCTAGCCTCACACTAGCAATCCTCCAGCCTCAACTTCCAATGTGTTCTGATTACAGGCATATGCTAGTGTCTAGCTGAATGACCTGTGCATGTTTCTGAGAGTGGCTGAAAAATCTCCATTTTATGTTAAAAATGAGGAGACCAGAACTTTTTACTTAACCTATTTTTATCACTCAGGTCAGAGTTCTGTAGCCAGACGGAAGGACAATGGTGCTGCTCTTTCTGAGTAATGCTGGTTCAGCAAGTGAACCCCAGGTCTTCATCTCTTCTGGATACCCTCTCTGCCTTTCAAGCCATAACCCTGGATACCCTCTCTGCCTTTCAAGCCATAACAAGAGCGGCCAGATCTCCAGTGTTCCTGGTGGAAGAGAATGAAAGGCAGAGACTCCACTCCGCTCTACAAACAAGCAAATAAGGACTGACTGGGTGGGAGAGGAGAGGGTGCTCCCACCCTTCAGCGCCCCACAGCATTCCGACTCCAGGGGCAGGCCAGGGCAGGGCAGGAGCAAAGTTCTAAAGGGAAGCCTAGAGCACCGCTCCTCCCAATAGCCCTCGGAGCTGTGTTCCTTCTGTTGTAGGCTAGAACGAGTTTCTGTCTCATTGAGTTGCAACAGGAGGGAGAATGCCAGTCTTAGTTAAAGCACTCTAGACTTGAACATTTTCTTATCAATTTTAGCAGCTTAACTTGAATAGACATTTCTAAATTTCCTATAACACCTCAGATGCATTTCCAGAGACTGTAAATGTGATTCTTCATTTTTCTATCAGTTTCAGTGAGCAGTGGATTTATGTGTTCTTTATGCTGCTGTAACAGATACTAAGTTTACTCACTCCTATGAATAGAATTCCCCATTGTGAGTACAGCCTGTTTTATCCACTCTCTCACCAGAGGACATGTGGATGGTTTCTAGCTTTTCTGCTAACCTAATGCTGCTGCTATAAACACTCTTTTGCATATCCTATGACACACCAGCAAGTGTTCCTATTGGGTATAGAGTATATATACCTAGAAATGTGAATGTTGGTAGAAAATTCTATAATGTTGAATTTTGCAAGGCAGTTACAAGTTGTTTTACAAAGCAGGTGGAGCTTTCCATTTCCAACCAAGAGTATAAAGGTTCCTGGAGCTCTCCACCTCTGGTTACAGCCTCCTCAAACTTTGTTGTGACACTCGCCAATAAGAGGTGTAGAATTTTATCCCACCACAGTTACAAACAAGGGAAGAATTTATGTCCATTTTCTTGTTTTCTCTTCTGTGAATATCTATTTCTTCCACTTTTTAATAGCTGTACAGAGGAGGGGGTGAGAAAAAGGTCAAGAGAGGAGAGCACTCTTCCCTGCTTAGTCTTCTTGAGCAGTTCTAGGGATGGGAGCTAGGGCCTCACACATCCCAGGTAAGTACCTTTAGCCCTTAGAAGGGCTCTTCGGTTGGATCTAATGAGTTGATAAAGAAGTCTGTTTTATTAAATTGACATGTATGAGGAAAGCCTCACAAGAAAGTGGAGCTTGAAGAAACAACTAAAGCAAGATGCTTTGATATTTAGACAACAATCAATTTAGAAGGACAGACAGGACAAATGGATCTCTCCACTAAGCTATATCCTAGGGATGTCGTTAAGAGATATGGGACGGGGCAGGGGTAGAAGCTAATGGAAGCTAAAGGTTACTTCAAAGAACTTGTTAATTGGGGCTGTGATGAATTACTGCAGTCACCAGTCTGGTGATCAAGGCTGTTTTTCTGGCTTTGCTTTGTGAAAGATGTCCCTCTCACAAGAATCTTTATGGCTTGTGGCATGTAGGAAAAGACAGGCCAAATGGCCCTTTCTGTAGTGACAGTTTCTCCAGTGATGTCGCTCTGAAGTAATTATACTCTGAGATGACCTGACCTTCACTCTTCCATGTGCAAACTTTTTTAAAATTGTAGCTTCATATTCTCGTGTTCATTTTATGTGTTATAAATCCTGCCAGTTTTGAATTTGTTTCAATTTCTTTAAGGCAACTTTTGATGAATAAAGTTCTATTTTAATAAGGGTGAATCTTGTTCTTTTGGTTCGTACTTTGTCTTATTTAAGAAATGTTTATCTCAGGGAGACACACAGAGATATACACACTGCCAAAAGGAGAAATGACATACACGTGAATCACCGGAGACTCAAATACACATATTAGTAATTGACAGACGGCTTAGCAGGGTGCAGCTGAGCAGAACAGCACCCTCAGCAAAATCTACTGATTCTCATAAGGTTTTCATCTTTTGTGAGAGCAAACTCTGTTTGGCTATAACAGTCTAGAATGAGTTTCTATTTCATAGAATTGGAATTGTCAGTGAGGGGTAGGTTTTTTTTTTTTTAAAAGATGTGTGTGTGATGTTATGTGTGAGTGTTTTGCCTACAATGTATATCACATGTGTACTTGGTGCCTGTAGAGGTCAGAAGAGGTCACTGGATCCTCTGAAATAGGAATTAAAGAGAGTTGTGAGTCACCATGTGGTGCTGGGAAATTGAACCTGGGTCTTCTAAAAGCACAACAAAAGCTTTTAACTGCTGAGCCATTTCTTCAAGTTCATGTCCCTATACCTAGGCTGGGCAGCTTAAAACAGTATGACTCTTGTTCCAGAAATCCCAGACTTCCAGTCTTTGGGGAATCTGCACTCAGGAGCACAAACCCACACATAATTAAAAATAAATCTTAAAACTATTATTATTAAGCCGGGTGGTGGTGGCGCACGCCTGTAATCCCAGCACTCGGGAGGCAGAGGCAGGTGAATCTCTGTGAGTTCAAGGCCAGCCTGGTCTACAAAGGGAGTTCCAGGACAGGCTCCAAAGCTACAGAGAAACCCTGTCTCGAAAAACCAAAAACAAAAAAACAAACAAAAAAACCCCCAAATTATTATTATTGTATGTGTGCGCCAGCACATGCCATCGCATACATACATGTGGGGCTCAAGGGAGTTGGTTTTTTCCTTCTACTCCACGTGGCTTTGAAGGATTGAAGAACTGAGCGCTCTGACCATTCAAGCCACATGAACTGCTCCTCTTCAGGAGTTTTTAATCCCTCAAGTTGGTCTATACTGAGATTCCAGCAGCTAATCAATCATTCTTAAACTATTTCTGACATAAAGTCCTGGTAGATTCTGGGTGACTAACCCTGTGGATCTATCTGTTTCTAGTTTTAGGTCAGGGTCCCCAGGGACCTTAAGTCTGCTGTGACACTTGATGGACTTGAGTTGCTGATTTTATAGTTTTTAACCTTTTTTTTTTTTTCCCTTTTTCTGCTGTGAGGACAGAAGTGATAATGTCCAAGTTCTGTTCATGTCAGAGGTTAAATTACTTTATTATTTATTTACTTTTTTTTTTTTGAGATAGGATCTCAACTATGTAGCCCTAGCTGTCCTGAACTCACTCTGTAGATCAGCCTGGCCTTGAACTCATGGAGATTCGCTTGCCTCTGCCTCCTGAGAGCTGGGATTAAAGATGTGCACCACTACATGTGACCCAAACTATTTTTTAAATCTTTGATTAGTATCTTACTATATCAATGTAGGTCAACATTTTAAAAGTTTTGACACTGCTAAACTTCCTTCCATGGGACTTTATTAAAATAATCAAAGCACATTTTTATTACTTTATTTTCTAATTTCCAAACCTTCATTGTTCCCCCAAGATGAAGTCTACACAGCCCTGCCAAGTACACATTCCTTGAGTGGGTGAGCCGTCACTGAGATCTTTTGTACAATTTAGCCCTTATTTATTCTTCAATGTGATCTCCAAGAAATGCCCCAAGCTCTCCATCTCCAGTGACTGGGGACGACTTCCTGTCCCTAGGGTTCTTGAGAGTGTTCACCTGCTTTTGCCCTGGTCAGCCTTTCCCAGAGCACTCCACCCTGCTGACTGCCCCGCACTGTGCCCTCACACTTCTGCTGTCCATTAGCTTACTTACTGAGAAGCCAGCATTTTGTGACGTTGTGTCAGCACGAGAAGGTTCACAGCACTGTGGCACACACAGTCTGTTGGGGTGAGCCCAGCTGGTTCCTGTGGTACACCTAGGGTTTCTGCCATTGTGGTATAATTGTGAGCTTACTGTTTATAAAGTCATTGTCCTTTGTTATTTTAATTTTTGGTTATATTTTTTCAGAATTTTTCTACTTACAGCATAATGACATAATAACTGATATATGGCTTTCCTTAATAGTTAGTTTAGTTTATTTTTCCTCTCAATTTAAAACCTTAATTCCACAAAAAACTAATAATATCCAGCCAAATTATTAAATAATCTTCTTAGTGGCATCTTAAAAACACTTACTTTTCATTTAAAAAAATCCGTACAAAACAACTACTTCTAAGATAAATACATATGAAAGTTTACAACTGTCATATCATAACAACAAAATACACAAAACACAGAATGGTGATAATTCAAATGCAAAAAAGCTGTCACTAATCTTGAAAACAGGTTTTTCAATGCTCATGTTTAAGTTTACAAAAAAAAAAAAAAAGTCACTCACGCTCCACTTGCTCAAACATTACTGAAAAGAGGAAGTCTCGGGGTGTCATGTAATATTCTCCCTCATGCTCCAGGGATGAAAACTGCATGAACCGCTGTTTACGTAGAGAAAGTTTCTCTACTGATCCCACGTCATTTTTCTAAAAGAAAAAGAAATAATAATTAAAAAAGTTTTTCAGTATCATTGCCAAACTCAGTTACCTCTAGAATTACCTTTAAAGAGTGAGATCTCACAGCCCCAAAGTTTATAGTAGTCATTTAATAAATATCAACTAAGTCCCTACGTTTTTAGACACTGAGTTAAAATACCAATTGAGACTAATTGGAGGGAAGTTACTTTCAACGGGAGCATGACATTCACAAATGTGTAGAGTCACTGCGATGGCGGGAAGTGACACAGCACAAATGGGAGACAGTGGCGGCAGGAGGGTCCTTAGGTAAGACAAAGCAGTCCTCTGAAGGGACACTGACAGAGGCCACAGGAGGAGTCAGTGAGCCCTGTTCTCGGGAGGAGCAGAAGGCCACTGTCACCATGGTGAGGAAGAGAGTGGCGAAGACAGATGTTCTCCTGTGAGGGCTCTGTTCACACAACTGTGACTAGCACCATGCAGAAAGGACATGCACATGCTGCTGGTGCTGGAGTCTCTCAGGTCTTAGAGCCGAGCCTTCCCAACAGCTGGAGGACAGTGCTGAAACATCCTGTGCTTGCTGCTCCACTCAAGGCATTCAGCCTCGGGTTCCCATGCCATCTTCCTACACACAGATGGGCCTTGTGCTGGGCAGACTGCGACATGCAGTTGACAACATTGGCACCCATGTGGAGCCTTGACATGATATTGTGCTGCTTTCACCCCACACTGCTTTCCTGCGGTATCCTTTTCACTGGGCTATGCATGCTCCAGGACACACCACCTACTTTTCATACTCAGCACCAACACTGGAATTTACCCTGACACACAGGCGATAGACAGTGACTGCTGACTCAAACTTGATGTAGGAGGTCCTTCTGTTTGTGTGTTGCTTTCATTGGATAATGAATAAAGAAACTGCCTTGGCCTAGTTGATAGGACAGAACTTAGGTAGGCAGAGTAAATAGAACTGGATGCTGGGAAGAAGGGCAGACAGAGAGACGTCATGGATCTCCTGCCTGAGACGAGTGCTGGCTAGAATCTTGCCGGTAAGCCACAGTCACATGGCTATACACAGATTAGTAGAAATGGGTTAAATTAAGATGTAAAAATTAGCCAATGAGGGCTGGAGAGATGGCTCAGAGGTTAAGAGCATTGCCTGCTCTTCCAAAGGTCCTGAGTCCAATTCCCAGCAACCACATGGTGGCTCACAACCATCTGTAATGGGGTCTGGTGCCCTCTTCTGGCCTGCAGGCATACAGACAGAATATTGTATACATAATAAATAAATATTTAAAAAAAATAGCCAATAAGAAACTAACTAGAGCTAATGGGTCAAGTAGTGTTTAAATGAATAGAGTTTCTGTGTGATTATTTCGGGTGTAAGATAGCTGGGTGGCCAGGACGACAATTAGCCCGCTCCTCCTGTTACACAAACCAAAATGGAAGAAAAATGAATTCTGGCTGCTTATATCTCTTCATATTCAAGGCCACCAGAGACTTCTTTTGGCTGATGTGAATTCCTAACTAATTCTCTCCCCTGAAGTAGACAACAGGCTTGCTAAACATCCAGTTTTGCTCCTTCTGCATTCTATTTAGTGCAGACAGCATACCCACAACATAATGGACATCAATGCTACTTTGTCCATACACTGTTACTATAAAAGAAAAAAGGTGAGGAGGGAACGCAGTACCTTGCACAAGCTGGGAAAAGCACTACCCTGACCTATAACCCAGTCTAGGGGCAAGTTTTAATTACATGCATCATACTTATCCTAGCAATCAGAAAATGGAATTATGGTAGTATTTCTGAATATTATATATAAAACACACATACACACACATATAGCAAAACATCAGCATTTATACATAGCAATATACACATATCATTTTGCTTACCAAAGAAAAAGCAGTGGTAAGTTGGACAAACATTAATTTCTGAGGAAGTTCTATGTGCTTTGACAGTGAATTTATGTGTATGGCCAGGAATGGGAGGGTGGGCTGTAGCAAAACCAGAAACCTACCTGCATTTGCAAAGCCTAGGGATTAGAACAGAAAGAGGCTAAACATGAGACTGTGTTGTGACTATATAGAAGAATTTTTAAAGGCATATAGCTAATTAACTTATAGCCTATTAAGAAAATAGCAAAACTAATAATCACATCAGAGAAAGTACACTCTCAAACCCTGAGACACTACTGGTGCTTTTCTAATTTCTGTATCAAAGTTGTTAAATTTTCCTTTTTTTTGATATTTCTTTTTGTTTAAATTCTTTTCACATCTCAACCAATTATCTAGTCCACTACTTTATTCAACCCTCTGTCTACTGGTCTTCTAAAGAGGGGCAGTTTACATTCTTGTTTTCTGGCTGTCCTCTTCCTTGTAGCGATCTTATTTTTCCTGGTCTTAACTAATATGTAGGAAGTAAATATACAAACCGGCTGCTCTTTCATAGCAAGTTGTGTAAAAGATACTGTATTTTTCTCTAGAAGGTTTAGTTCTAAAAGTTTCTCTATCTTGTGGTTATCATTTTTTAATTAAAATGCTTATTTAATTAAAAACAATGTGAATGTGTGCATATGCCACATGTGTGGGTGTTCACAGAGGCCAGAAGATGGTATCAGATCCCCTCAAGACACGGACAACTGTGAGATGCTTGACATGGATACTGGAATCCAGCTCCAGGCCTCTCCAAGAGCATCAAGCGCTCCAAACCAAGGTTACCATTTTCCATGTCTCTAAGAAGAGCATCAAGTGATCCAAGCCATGGTTATAATTTTCCATGAGTTTCTATGAAGAGCATCAAGTGCTCCAAAGCACAGTTATCATTTTCCATGAGTCTCTAAGAACAGCATCAAGAGCTATACAATCTTTGTCTCTAGGACCCTTTCACTCACAGAGTCACATTTCTGAAGAGCCAACCCTTTAAGAAGTGCCATTTTATGGAGCTGGATAGCTGACTGGATTGCTTGCATCTACTTACATTTTGGCTAAATTACTTTCTAGTGAACAATATTATTAGCTAAAGGTAACAAGAATCTTTTTACTAGTTAATTTCTTTTCTTCTTTTTTTTTTTTTAAGTTTTTCGAGACAGGGTTTCTCTATGGTTTTGGAGCCTGTCCTGGAACTAGCTCTTGTAGACCAGGCTGGTCTCGAACTCACAAAGATCCGCCTGCCTCTGCCTCCCAAGTGCTGGGATTAAAGGCGTGCGCCACCACCGCCCGGCTACTAGTTAATTTCTGAACTTGTTTGCACAGAACTGTAGGTCACGCCCACAAATAACCTCCAAATATGACTACAACCATGACTCCCCACCAGCAGTGGTTGGAACCCTTCAATACCCTCTACCAACACCCTTACAGTTTAATTTGGTACGGTAGCTTTCTGAGCTCCTGTTACTCCCTAGTATAAACAAACCCATTCTACTAGCCCAAAGCCTTCCAATTCCCATTATTAGCATCCAACCTCTGTGTATCCTCTCCACTGCCTCTCTCACTGAGACTGAGAACTCTGCTGTCAGCAGTCAACAGTGCCCGTTATTTCTTCTGTGAGGTATACAGTGGCTGCTCCCAGCTCCCATCTTACTACCAATCTTCCCATAGCTTTACCCTCTGAGCTCAACACTTAATTGAGCATCTACTAATTTCAGAAAAACAGTAGGAGTCAGAATGCAAATGAACCAAGGGGATAATTGTGTAGCAGAAAATGTCAGCAGCAATGCAGTAGATAACTTAGTGAGTAAGATGCACAAGGCAGGTTGGGAGCATCTTTATAAGCATGTTCTCTCCAATCCTCAAAATACCCAGTTGGAACCAGTTTTTTCTTTTAAGCACCCCTTAAAAGAAAGGGATGTAGGATTGTTAAGGTCAGCCAGCTTGCCTAGATTAACACAGTAGGTAACTGACGGCACAGCCCATATGGCACCAACCTCAGTCTCCAACACGTTCCCATAGCAGCTCCTGTGAGAGAAGATGCAGTGCAGAAGGTTTCATCCAAGATGAGGATATAAGCTAGAGTCTAGAGACTAACAAAGGAAAGGACTAGAACTGGCCATTCTCTAAGTCCAAAGCTAAATGATGCCCATTTCCTAACTAGTATGCATTCCTTCCCTGGTTATATCAAATTTAAGTTGAGTAGAATGTCCTGAATAGATTTGTTTGCTATTATAAAATTTAAGCGGGGGGGGGGAGGGGAGAAGGACTTTTGTGAAATTATCACTTTCCAAATTAAGATACCAACACAGTTTTGATTGGGTTATTATTATTATTGTTATTATTTATCAACCAGTAGCCAAATTTTAAAAGAAAAATTTGAAGGCTCACAAGTGCAGTTTGTGTGTATTGTACATTTATGGTTATTTTATAGAATTTGGATTGACTTGCCAATGCCAGTTTTATTGTGTTCATCTTTTATTTTGCTTTACTTCATATTCATAACTATTCTGAGCAAATCTCAAACCTACTAGATGGTTTCAAAGATCAATAAAGCCAACATTCAGTCAGTTATGATATTACCAAGAGGAGAAAGATGCTTTACTGTGTGGTTTTCTAAGGATGTGCTATTATAACAACCGAATTCTTTCTGCCTCGTTTTTAAGTAGCCCACCAAGCCTGGGAGTGACGTTTCCGCTTACTCTAATGCGTAGCAGCACACTGAGCTGCTGCTTTGTGTACGACAGAAGTACAGTTGATATTTACCACCCACATTTTTGTTTTTTTTAGAAAATTCTTATTTATTTTTATTTTAGGTGCCTGCATGTGTGTCTGTGTAAACATGTTGGATTCTCTGGGACCGGAGTTACAGACAGTTGCGAGCTATATGTTGGTGCTGGAAACTGAACCCGGATCCTCTGGAGGGCAGCTAGTTCTTTCAACTGCTAAGCCTTCTCTTCAGCCCTGAGATTTCTTTATTAATTCTGAAAAACTTGCTCTTTTTCATACGTGCATGCTATGGTGGCTCCCACCCCCACTAGTTCCCGTCCACTCCCATCAACCCCTTTCCTTACAAACCT